GAGCCATCGGTAAAGATGGCATTTCCGGAGAGGAGAGCCGCCTGCGCATAGCTCTTGGCTCTTTCTTTGTCCCGGATCGTAGTCTTGACCCAAGGTTGCCATGGTAAGATAGGCAGACCCCGCCAGTGCTGGACCTTGTCCAGACTATCTCGACTCTCTGTTAGAGTCAGACCTTTGACCGCGAGTGTCTGGTCTAGGGCCCTCGCACAACCAAGTGCGGACAGCCTTACGGCTGCAATAGTCTTGAGCTCCAAGTCTGCTGGTAAGAGACCAGCCGCGACACAAATAGCCGCGTTGGAGCAGTTCCGGGGAGCCTGGAGGGCCATCCTCGCTACCATGGCTGTGACCTGCAGTAATGCGGACTTTGCCGTGGCGGATTCAAGCCCTTCCTTCCAGGCCGCTACTGCGTGGGCAAGGGCCGGTAAGATCGCCACCATGTAGGTTTTGATTATTTTCTTACCGGTGATCCCTGCTCGCGCCCAACCAAGGTGCCTGAGACGACCAAGTTTGGCCTTGGCTTCGGACACCTTTAACCGAATATGGTGCTGGAAAGAGAGGCGGTGGTCGATCCAGACACCGAGCACCCGTACGACTTTAACAATGTCGATAGGTGTACCATCAAGGGACAAGGCATGGTTCCCGATGGTCCTGGGTAGGAGTGTCTGGCTTTTAGCCGGCTCGTAGGACACTCCCGCTTTGGCGGCCCAAGCCAGTAGTAGAGCTTCTGCTGACTGCCACCGTTTAACCAAGGACGGGCCAGTTCCACCGGATACCACAACCGTTGTATCATCCGCATAGAGGGTCAAGCTCACGCCTTTCGCCTCCAAATTTGCGAAGTCATCTACAAGCGGCAGGGTGGATAGAAGGAACAAGAAGGGGCCCAGGGCACTGCCCTGAGGCACCCCTCGTTGAAGTTCAGAGTGGCCACGTCTGCACCATAGACAGCCGAAACACTCTGGGCCCTCAAGTAGCCTTCAACAATGCTCACTAGATAGCGTGGGACATCGTATTGGGCCAGGGTTGCCAGGATGTGGCTGTGTTTTACCGAGCTGAACGCGTTTTGCACGTCGAGTTGGACAAGTGCAATAGGCGCGCTCTTACTCCTCTTTCTGCCAGCCCTGAACGCTTCGACCACGCGCAGGACAGCAGAGTCAACCGATTTGCCTTTGCAGAATCCATGGACAATGGGAGAGTCCAATCGTTTCTGGATCTGCGGGCAAGAGGCAAGCCGTTCTATTATGAGACGTTCGAACAGCTTGCTACCTGAACCGACCAGGCAGATTGGCCTCCAGCCGTTAGGCTTGGTGGGGTCCCTGCCGGTCTTATGAATGAAGATCCCTTTAGATGACTTCCACCCATCGGGATATATACCAGTCTCAAGAGCTTCAGTGAACTGGGTACACCAGTTGTCCTTCAGCACCTCGAGAGTATCGAGAATGATGCCATTGGTCACATCATCCTTTCCAGGGGCCGCGCTTCTCCGTAGACCATCGGCCGCCTCTCTGAGCTCAGAGTAGGTGACCGCCGGGATGGGATCGGCTTGCGGCGGTAGAACCAAGGCATCGACCTCCGCAGCCCTTTCGGGATCACGGGGGAAGAGCTTACGTAGGAGGAAGTCCGCTTGATTCACTCCATGCGGGCATATGGCCGCAGGAGGAATTCGGGGACAACCTCGTTTAACACAACGAGAGTAGTGCTGCAGATCCTCAAAGAATCTACGAGCAGCTGCTCCCTTGGCCTCTTCGACAGCGGCACAGAACTTACGTCTGGCAACGTCGCGGATTTCCCGATAATGCGCCGTGGAAGGTGCATCCGGGCCGTTTAACCTTTTATGGCGGTAGAACGTCCGCTGGGCCCTTTTAAGCTTCGCCTTCAGCCTAGACAGCTCGCCCGTCCACCAGGTGGTGTCAGAGGGGGCTGGGGCTTCGGGCGTAAATTGTTTTACCAAGGTGCTCAAGGAATCTGTGATACCCTGACAGGGTAACCCTGTAAAGGAGTATCAGAGGGAATCCGAGAAGCACCGTCCATAACCTTGGCTATATCTACGAGGCGATGGGCCAATCGCGGGAGCACAAGATTGCCACCCTGGCTGTCTACCTCTGTGTAGAGTAACCTGTGGTCTGACCCTCAAAGGTCGTCCACTAGCTCCCATCGGGGCGAGATGCCGTCTCTGGGAGTACCGTACAGTAGGGTGAGATCAATCCAGGAGTGATACCGCTCGGATACAAAGGTTGGTAAGGATTCGTCATCATTCAGAATCCGAACGCCTTTCTCCAGGCACCAATCTACGAGTGACTCACCACGCTGCCAGGCCTGCCTACGCAGGTTGCTAGCAGTTAGCTCTGAGCCCCAAGCTATGTGCCAAGCATTAGCATCGACACAGATGTAGAGCGGGACGGACACAGGCCACGTGGAAAGGACCTGGTCAAGCTCAGAGAGCGCCAGTTCCCTCCTAGGCATATCCGTGCCGTGAAAGTACCATGACGCTATACCATAGTTGTTTCCCTTGACCACGACAAGGTCACGGGAAGCAAAAACCGTGTGGCAGGGGATGCCACGCTTGGACAATATACAAGCCTCCTCGTTCTTACGTAAGCCGTGGTATTGGTAGCCAACGAGCTTACGGGAAGCGGAACAGGGTTCCTGGAGGCAGACCATGTCTACGAGAGTGCTATGCAGCCGTGGCAGAAGTAAATTCAACGCCAGCAGCCGATGACCTTCATTATGCTGTAGAATCCTTATCATTGACAAAAGGCAGCATTTCCGAAGTCAGTACGGCCCCATTGCCGCCTAGCAAAGGCGGCTAAGCTCTCACATGCACCATCCGTGCACTCGTGGTCCCCTTTCGGTGAACTCGAGCTTCAGGATGAGATGCGTTGAAGTCCAGGCAGTTAGCGCATTTCAGCACCGGCCCTGTGATGGACTGAGCCGTACAAGCTTGTCTCTCGTGACCGAAGGCTGCACAACGCGTGCAGCGAATCTTGGCCTGATCCTGCTTATGAGGACAGGAAGGGCCAATATGGCCAATACCACAACACCTAAAACACACTGATGGGGAGCGAGATGTCGCCCATCTGGTGCAAAGGTGATTTAATACCAGGCGACCCTTCCCTTCCCCATTGGCAGATAGCCTGTGGTAGAGGGTTGGGCAGATCGCCATAACTAAGTGCTGGCCGCGCCAATAGACCGCGCTGACCAGCTTGTCACCGTCGATACCTTCGGTGAGAGCAGGATTGCCCTCTTTGATAGAGCGACTCACTGAGTCGATAGTGGAACCACGGGCTATTGCGGGATTAAACAAAATCACACGTGGCCATAATCCAGTGCGGACCTTGGCTGTATAACCCTGCATGCGACTCAAAGACTGAACGCATGTGTTCCCGTGACTCTCATCGCTAAGGACTAGTCCAATACCTCCCTTGATTGGGAAGGTGGTACTGACGATGACCGAACCACTCAAAAGCCCCAGGGCCCTGCTGCGAAAGGTCATGAACTCGGCGGCGTCCATTTTAGCGGCGTCATCAACCGAGCGGAGTTCAACCACGCAGGCCTTTTTGTTGGCCTTCTTGGCTTTCTCCAGTGCAGTTCTGTTTGGGCCAGGGGCAGTAGTGCCTTTACCCTTGCCATTTCCTTTACCTTTACCTCTGGCTGCGGGAACCGTCGGTGTCACGATAGTGCGATGGTGCACCGGAGTAGAACCAGGGACGCGCATCCTTTTGGTAGGACCTCTAGTGGCCGCCACAACTGTCCAGGTATGGGAGGGTTGGGCCGCGGGGGAGGGTTCCGCCGGAACCGTTCCGGAACAGAGGTCGGTGCCTCGCGAGCTGTGCATACGAGGTGGGAGGTATCGGCGCGCTGGTTAGAGGGATTGGTGGCAAGGGATGCCAGAACAGCGGATGGCGCCGCTTCAGCGCGGTGGGGAGGGGTGAGAATAGAGCCGGGACGTGCCGCGCCCTCGATCAGCGTAAGGTGGTGCCTGGTTAGCACTTGTAAGACCTTTTGGCCTCTGAGCTGATGCTCAGGAGGTAGAAGGTCTAGGACGCCAGCGACGGCGTCAATCACTTCCGAAGGCCGGTAAAGAGAAGCCGACACACCGTTGAACTTATTGAGGAGCTCGTCCAGGCCCGCTGGACCAGACTCCCGTGGGGATCCAATTTCCACGCTGACAGGATTTACTATTTCTTCATCGGGAGACACAAGCAAGCGTGGACTCAATTCGGCGCGAGACGAATTCGGATAAAAATCACCAAAATCATAGTTTTCCAACGAATGAGTGCAGGCTTCATCAATCTCCACGTCGCTGTCATCAGCGCACAAATCATGCCAATTGATTTTACTCGAAGCCGGATCCCCACGGTGTCCAAGCGAGCGAGAGACCATCCCACCATTTTTACCAATAGATTTCCTCGGAATGAGATCACCTCTATCTTTACCTTTCCCCTTCGCACCACGGAAAGTCACGGCTTTGTCGACCATGGGTTCGCCCTTAGGGACTCCTGTGATAATAGCTTCCCTGCTGAGGATCGAGTCCTCGATACCAGACTTGTGTGCACTCGATGGCTCTTCGCGACACGGGCTGTCGGGCGGGAAGAGGGGAGGGGTTAGGTCCGATGATTCGTGAATTTCTCGAACTGTCATAAGAAAACAAAAGAACTCACGCTGATGTGGCGTATGTAGAGTATAAATCGCGTGGTGCTTGGACATCTGACGGGGCCCGAATATTCGTTTTATGCCATTCGAGATTTACGACACTTGCTATTTCACTTGCCATAAATTGCTCAAAAGCGATTTTTTCATACTCTGTTGCAAGTTGTCTCATTTGATGATCGAGCGGATCGACTCTTTTGGGCAGGGGACTTGGGGAATGCAAGAGATGACAAGGGAATTACTGCTGCTGGGACCGCGAGGGCATCAGTAGCTTTACTAGAGGCTTGAACGAATGAGGAAAATGGTACTATTCTGGGTTGATGGTGGAACTCCCTTCCTCGAGGTCCCTGGCGCCCATCATGGTGGCAAAAGTCTAAATAGTGTCGTCCCTTGGTCAACTGTCATTGTACACTAACTCTTCCTCGTGCTGGTGGACCCCAGATTGTTGTGTCCTTCCCGTCAATAGTCGGTCGGTGTATGCTGCAGTCGCGTCCTTGAATGGGTTTCCGTCACGTTTCAGCCAGCACGGAAATTCCGTGCTGGCTACCGAGCCTTCACGGCATGCTTGAGAGGGCAGAATCACGACCGACTCCACGCCTGCTCGTAATACGAGCCTATCATCGACCCGGCTAGGCAGCACTTCGCGGCGACGGCAGTTGTTGATGGGCAGGTGTACTTCATGGATAGCATGAACGTCCATCTCCCTCACGATGGATTCTTCGTACAAGCTATGCGTCAACTCTACGGCTCACGTGAAGTCCTGAATGTTGCGGTGCAATAACAAGAATACGGGAGCAATACCTGTGGACTCCACGCGGTAGCTAGATTGACCGAGGTGGTGCTGAATAGGCAGTGGTTCACTCTCACGGTGTTCGAAGAAAGCCGGATGCGTTACCATGCTGCGCAGTGCATCTCCAGCGGTCGGGTGTTACGTTTCCCAGAAGTATTCCCAGCCCCTCCTAGCATGGCCTTTGGGCCAGAAGGGAGGATAGTAATTTAAGTGGGTTTTTTGATCTTGGAGTATTGTACATGTTTTCAAATATAAAAATAGTGGGGTTGAGTTGAGCCGAAGTGCTTTAAGGGGATGAGTATTAAATGTAAGATACAAGACGCGATACGGAGAAATGGAGTCCCGAGTCCGAAGTTAGTTCGTACAAAATAGTATTCTGCCGGGATCGAACACACAACCTCGCGTTACTAACCTCACATGCCTAACCGACACACCATTCTGCCGTGAGCAAGATGCTGTGCAGTCAACCGGCTACACAATTATCGCACGAACAATCCCACGAGTGTGTACGAAAAGCTGGAGAACCCGTAAAGCTAAGTAGTGCGACTTCGGACGGATAACCACAGCCAGGCGAGTCAGGTCCAAGTACGATAAGGTAGTGATGAACACCCCCTCGTGTTACAAAGTCAGAAAGGTTCGGTGTCGAGTGGTATAGTTGTTAAGCGCTCGCCCATTTGGTACAGAAGTGGACAAATTCCCCAGTATAAAATTTGGTACAACACAATCGTCGGTGTTTGAGTTTGTCACGAATTCGTGTTTTTTTACACCACCAAAAACGTTTGGTTCAAAAGTGGATTGGTACAAAAGTGGAGACACGGAATAGACAGTATAAGGCGAGCGCGAGGGCCTTATCCGTAGCTAACGTGTGCATGCGTCAAACGATCGATTGCATTCAGAGTCTTCCGAGGGATTCTTTTGAGGATTACTGTTGGCACTCCTGCCAACCTTGTCGACCGCAGCTAAGTATTATCTTATACCTGTATCTACCCTTGGGATTGTGTTGCCAGAGTCACTAGCATCGACTACCTATAGTATCAATCGACGACCCGATCAAGACTTCGAGTAGATTCGTCCACATTCTGATATACGATCTTACGTATAATTTCCGTCGAATGGCTGACTGCCACAAGCAGTATGACCTCGTTTTATCCAGCTAGGTAGCCCACCTCTCCCCTATCAACTAAGAGCCACTTCGTACGCTCTACGGTCTCTTATCTACATCAGGTTTGTCGCGTATGGAAGTACCATTACGACGATCTAGGCAGCCGCCTCCAATGGTGATCGTATCTGTCGGTGATCGTATCTGTCTTGACTTCTTCATGTTCTCATAGTTGGTCTACCCGTGTACGGTTTGTGACAGGTTTGCACCGCACAAGGTTGTGCGGAATCTTGCTCATTGATAGCGTTTAACGTGATTAAGCGAGTTGATCGATAAGGTTGGAGCAGAAGGACTCCGGATTGAGGGGGACTTCTTGGGGGTTTTCTTTCGGTAGCATCAAGATATGTTTAAACCTCCATAGCGCGTTGTAAACATCCTAGCGCCGATGGCAGTGTTGGGTTGTTCAAGAAGAGGCTACAGCTTGAGTTAACAATTGTTAGGGATGTTAGAGCGCGACAGTGTATATGTGTACGCATAATGTTGATCAATCATTACAAGTTAACCACTCTGACAAGTTGCTACTCTTCTCCCACAGGTTCATACCGATCTGTCCTGTTCATCTATTGCGGGCTGGCCTTCTATCGTTAGTTCTCTACGATCCTCTCAACAATCATCTTTGAGGAGCGCCCCTGTTTTCCTTCTAAGACTTGAATCTGAGTGAGTGTCGCTCCAATCGGGATCACATTCTGCTGTCATTCCTCTAGTGTGGATCAGGTTTATTCGTCACGAATGTCGATCCTTGAGATGTGTGCATTTGTAGCTTTTTTCCCACCGATTTCTGTATCCTGTCATGAATACCTGTCAAATTCGTCTCCCACAAGTCCCAAAGAATGACGCAGACGTTCCTGCACATAGCAGCCAATCTGAGTCGACCACTGAAATTGACAACTCCGCATTGGAGTTACCAGAAGATATTTACATATCTATGCTAGCCCTCGGTAGGGAAGCTCGTCAACGTTGTGGGCACATTACGCACAAGTACCGAGATATCCTACTTATTCCTCGAGGGGCATCATTCAATTATCCTCGCATCGAGAGTGGAGCTAGTACGGCTTCGACATGCGGTGGGACGACTGACTCTCAGGATTCCTGAGACACTTTCCTGAGTCAGGAAAGTCCATCTGGCAGTCCCTGACCTAATGCCGAATAATTACTTTTTTCGTCCCATCCATCGTAACACCAGCGATGAGCACACAGTTATCCGAAGCCTTTCGTGTTGAGTACTGAGTTCTCGAAGTTCCGAATGCTCTTCTGACATCTCATTAAAAGGCGCCTTCGCACATCGGCGAGGTACAGTAGATCGGTCAATCAACTATGGAGTGCTCAGAGGTTAACAGTACACAATCAGGTACACACTGGAGTTTTCGTCTCATGACTTGGTTGTCGAGTTTCGATAAAACGTGCATCCGACAAATCGTAATGGCTATTGTTGCAATCTTTAATCAAGGAATATCTCAAGTTGAGCCTGAAGGCTATGAAGGTCTAAATTCCCAATGTTGCAACGACGCTGAGGATATCGGACTATCGACCAGTGTGATGTCACGAGATGCTGTTTTCCTCACTTTACTCTTGATTGGCAATCGTTGGACTGGTGAGCGTAAGCTACACAGGCCAACATTACTGGTGTTGAAGAAAGTTGAGTCTCATGACAGGACTCCATCCAAGCATGCCTATCGAGAACATCCTCAGGTTCATCAATATCGAGGGAATCCTCAGGTTCATCATGTTGGTCCCATTCAGAAGGTATGCTTGATATCGAGTTGAGCAGAACAGAACTCAACAGTTATGGTTCTTTGAAGCAAAAAAACGACTCGGCGGATAGATGATGAATGTAAAAAGCATATTTCAACGAACTGAATAATAACTCGAAAACATCAGGAGTCCATATTCACTGCTACTACGCCTTGTAACAAGTATCCAAGTACCTGTGACAACGACAACATAGGAGACTACCAACAGCTCGCTTCAACTCACTTGGCCACCACGATGTCTGCCAGCTCCTTCGGGACCGAAGCTGCAGAACCATACACGGCTGCATTACCACTATGCCCTAACAAATAACAGAACCCCTTATCTCACTACCAGAAGTGTGAACACAGTCTGGTCATGCTACAGGTCCAGGCCAGGAATCGAACCCATACGTACCGCTCTTCACACCAGCGTCTAACTTCGCCTTCTCCGCCTTAAGACCAGCCTCGATATCCGTTAACAATTCATCCATTTTCTTAGCGTTCAGACGTGTGACGCATATATGAACGCCCGATGGCATCTGCAGCATGTTCAAGTTCCTAAGGGAATAACATTAAGGCAATTTCCACTATGGTCACCCCACCAATGGGTCTTGGTGTTGTTCTTCAACCATTCTGCAAAGTCATAGTCATTAACCCCATTAGTGCAGGTAATAGCCACCACCGAAACGCTTGGACGGCCCAACACGCGAACTCCCTCTATGTCGTTGATTCCCTTCTCGAGGTGCTTAGCAGCAGACACTACATAGAGTCCATCATACAATCCCAGTACAATCGGCACGCTCACCAATTGTCTTGCATGATTCTTTATACCCATCTCTTCCGATGTGCATCAAGTCGCCCAAGTCGCTGCGACGGCAGCTGCTGGTCTGATGGTGAACCCTTGGCGAGTGCATAGCATTAGTTCGA